GGGTGGCAGGTCTTTCCGGGGCCTGCCTGCAGCTCTTCCTTCACAACAGTTCTTGGGCAGGAGCTGCCCCTGAGCAGTGCACACAATTCATGTGAGGAAGGCTGTGCCCGCTGGGCCAGGGACTTGGAACCAGGGGGTGTCCGTACTTCACAGCAGCAGGGAGAGGGCTGAGGTGCTTGCTGCACGCTGGGACGTGGAGATGAGGGAGGACTGGCTGCAGCAGTGCCATTGGGCAGGGCTGTAGGGAATTCTGCACAGCTGTCCAGCCTTTGAGGAAACATGGTTTGAGGACTGCCTGTTCCTCCCTCATTCCTTCCATAGTACAGGGCACCAAGGGGCCTGTTCTCATTGCTTTTGCTCTGAAGGTACATTAGTAAAAACAGTATTTTCTAAAAATAAGCTGGTGCATGTAGACTGCAGGAGATGAGGTCTCGGGAGGAGTGTCTCAGCAAGGTCTGGAGGCAGCAAGGAGTACAGCCTTAAACTTCTCCCACATGGTATGTGCAGTGTCTGTGTGAAGTGTTCTGCTCTGCTTGTGGTGCTGGAGTGAAGCCATGGCCCTAGCTGTACAAGTTTCTGTTTTTCCTTTCTCATTCCCATGCTTTCGTTTTTGACTTTAAGAGGACTATTGTGGATCCCACCCTTTTCAGCATCTCTCTGGCGTTGCCACCTTCTGGCACTGAACCCAAGCAAGAAGGCCTCTTCTCCTGACTGCTCTTTACCCAGGAAGTTTTAGTAGTGTCTTTCATACTCTTGGAAGACACTGGTTTTATGGAAATATTTTCAAAGTCCAGTAAAGCAGTAGCTTTTGTGGGGAGGAGGAGGGACCCTGACCTTCACTGTGAAGTGTATTTTTGAAAAAAATGGCTGCTAGTTATGTTAAAGAAGACAAAGAGCATTAGTGCTGATATGCAGCCAGGTAAGTTCCTCAGATCCTGTGCACAGTCCTCTTGTAAAGCTGTTTGTGAAAATGATTAGGATTGATTCTGAGTATAACAAAGCTCAGCCTTCTTTTCCACAGCTTCTTTAGAGCAGTCATAGGGCTAGACACTCTGTAGAAGTTGTGGTTTGTCTGGTGGTCACTAGAAGTTCTCAAAGCCCCAGTCCTAGGGTCCCTCATTGTTCCTTTTGTTTTTTTCTTTCTGCCTTCAAAAGCTGCCAATAACGTTTACTTGCTGAAACCTGCTTAGTGGGTTTTAGAACACTACTTCTCTGTAAAGCAGCAATAAAGGATCAGAGGAAGAACAGACAACACCCTCCCTAGCCACTTGCCTCCAACACATACACAGAGAAGTACCAACCAAGCTTCCTACTCGGTGAGCAAGTAATTTTGCTCCTCTGTGTTTTCCTGTTATGCAGAATTGTTGTTTCCCTGTTGACCAAATCTCATGTCCCTCATCCTAATTAGGTGCCTCATGAGCAGCTATCCAGGTAAATTGGTTGCATGGATGATCATAAAATTACAGAGTGGGTTGGGTTCAAAGGAACCTGGAAAGATCATCTAGTCCAACACCCCCATCTGCCACGGGCAGGGACATCTTCCATTAGATCAGGGTGCTCGAAGGCCTGTCCAGCCTGACCTTGAATACTTCAGTGGTGGGATACCCACAACTTCTCTGGACAACGTGTCCCAGTGTCTCACCACTGTTGTTTTCTCCTTATGTCCAATCTAACCCTACCATCTTTCAGTTTGAGACCGTTGCCCCTTGTCCTGTCATCTAGGAGCTTTGGTTGCAGTGTCTCCCTGTATGCTCTCTGGAGCTCTGTCTCCTGGGCTGTACTGCAGACAGCTTGCACCTGGAGCCCTCCCTTCCCCGTTTCCCCAGTGATACTTACTGTGATGGACATTTTTAATGGCAAAGTGTGCTAAATCTTTTGCTCTCCCTGTAGGGCGACTCAGCAAGGCAGACAAAGAGCTCATAATTGTAGCTACAAGTGTTGTGAATAGATGTCCCTACTGTGTGGTTGCACATGGAGCACTTCATCGGATATATTCCAAGCAGCCAGCACTGGCTGACCAGGTCAGTGGGGTTACAACAGCACATGCCCCACCTCCTTCGCATGGTCCCCTGAGAGGTGGGAATGGCCCTCTCATGTGGCTGCTTTCTCACCTGAAGTTTTGATCCTTAGTCTATATTTTGAACCTTTGATCTATGTGGTTCCCAGCAATCTTGAGCAATTTTGACATGTCTGGGGCCCCAACTCAATACCTGTCTCACTGGGTGAGCAGTCAGAGCAGTGGCCAGTGGGGGCAGGACCTCAAGGTGGGTGTCTCTGTATCCTCATCCACCGTCCAAGCAAGATGGCGGGAGAGATGGTTGACCTGCAGAGCATTCATCCTGCTGCCCACATTCTTTGCTATTTTAGTCTGGTCTGTGGAGGAACTTGGTAGCAGCATACTCGTGATGTTGGGCTGTGTTTCAAGTACTCCTTCAGAGTTTTGGCTCACCAAAACTGCCACAGTCCCCAAGATGAGAAGGGTGGTAAAATAGATGAGTCTTTTATCTGATGGTAGCCACGATGTCTGGTTCAAGTGCTGAGAAAGAGCCATCCCTTTGGCTTGTGGAGGAAAGAAGGTGGTCAGCCAGTTAGACTGTTTGCTGGGTCCATTTATGCTACCTCTGTTTTCTGCTTTGTCTCAGGTCATTGTGAACTGGAAACTGGCAGACCTGAGTGACCGGGACCTGGCAATGCTGGAGTTTGCACTTGCAGTCTGTCGAGCTGATAACATCACTGAAGAGCATTTCCAGAAGCTGGAGAGGCATGGTTTTGACCGTGAAGATGCCTGGGACATAGGCATGATTTCTGCTTTTTTTGCTATGTCTAATCGCATAGCTCATTACATTGACCTGCGCCCAAACAAGGAATTCTACACCATGGGCAGAGTGCCCCGTGGGGAGAGGGAGGTGGAGGAAACTGAATGTGCCTGACGGGGCTCTCTGATGCCCACGCATCCGAAAGATTGATCAAGCTCTGAATTCGCAAGCTAGTGTGGCTTATTTCTGAGCGTGTAAAAGTGTTACCTGCAGAAGAGGTGTAAGTCCTGATTCTCCCAAAACACAGAGACTATGTTTAGAGAGGAGACATTGCTTTATTCTGGCCAGGGTACACAGGGGAATATTTCCAGAAATCATGCTTACCCCCTGCTGGTTTTCTTGTCATATTTATACACAAAAGTTACAAGGTAGCATACCCTCAGTTACAATCATGGGTTAGTAATTTACATATAATATTGGTTATGACATTCAGTTACTGTGCCTGTGCAAGGGAAGGGTCTTCATATGGGCAAGTGTCTTCTTGGCCTATGGGAATTATTTTTAGTATTATAATGAAGGTAGTTCAGCTTAGGATACCCAGAATTTTCACTTTTCTGCCTAGTTGGCTAGGCCTTTCAAAACATGGTAGATTAGTAGCATCCTCAAGGTTCATATGCTGATCTGCTCTAGGATGTTTTACTTCAAAGGAAGACACCACCACCTCCTTTCCTTGATTAGGTGTTCTTTCTCATATGACTCAAGGATAGAATCCTTGTTACCTGTGAGAACGTCTCAGAAAGTTCCTCTATTAATTAGTCCAGATACTCGTGAAGAAATATTCCCAAGGCCAACCATCTGGCCACGTACATAACAAAATGGTCATACGCAAGACGCTATATTGCAAGTTCAGCTAACGCCAAAAGTTAACAGGCCTAACTAATGTTAACACCTTTAATGTTAACGAAAATGGCTAAAATTCTAACTACAAGACAACAAAAGGGTTAAAAAGTTAATGCCGGATTTTAGCCATGAGGGGTGGTGGGCTTCCTTTAGCCATTCAGAGAGATGGCGGCTTCGGTCTTGGCACCGGCTGCGCTGGTCACCCTGTGCCTTCGTTCGAGCTGCTGCGCGGCGCTCTGCCGCCTCAGCCGTCTGAGACCCGGCACACCGAGCTACGGCCGGCCGCTGGGGGCG